GTCTATATGTCTATATGTCTATATGTCTATATGTCTATATGTCTATATGTCTATAGCTGCACATTCAAAGATCCAGAGACACTGAAAGATAGAGGTGGGGAGAGAGATTAAGAGAAAAAGAAAAAATATAGAATTAGGTTCTATAATTCATCACAAGTTCCATAGAAGAACTAGATAGAGCATGAGCTTTTCAATAAAATTCGGAGATTCTAAAAGAGCGAGTGAGAGGGAGAGAGACACATAGCTGTAAAAGCTCGTTTCTGAGCAAAGCTCAGCTTGGCTTAGATCAGCTAAGCGCAGTTGAAGCTTTTTTAAAGTCTGCTTTTCAGCATAGACTTTAAGCGGGTTTCAAGCCAGCGAAAACTCTTGAAAGCAATCGCCTCAAAGTATGCCAGAGAAACTGAGATATATATCGTACATCTTGATTTCTTGCAGAGGAATGGATAACGAAGCGAAAGACGGAGCTGACGACAACTAGACAGATCGAGACGCGTGTGAAGCGGCAGGTGAAGCTGCAGGATGGCAAAGTGATTGAGGACTCGGGTCCCATAGTCTCAACAAATACAACGGAGGATACGGACAAGCAGGAGACTGAGACCTCGGAGGTAACTATCCCGCACTCTGCCCCTACCCCTACCCCTCCCGCATCTCTTATGTCTGTCATTCATTGGGCATTTGCAGAAACGTGACCTGGGGCTGCCCGATGATTTGGATGGCGATGCCCAGCTGATCGATGCCGCAGCGCTGCAAGCGGGCGCTGCGAACGAGACACAGCTCGCCCAGCTGCAGGAGGCGTTCGGCATCGATGGCGGCAAGCTGGTCAAGCGCATGGTGCCGCGTCCCAGCGACGGCCTGGTGCGCCAAGTGGACGACAAACGGGTCATATCGCACGAGGAGATCAAGGACTACCTGGAGACGGAGGATGTCAGGCACCTGGGCGACATCACAGACGAGGTGAGCAACAACAACAATTCTGAACCCACCACCACCACCACCGCCACTCGGCGCTGTGGTAATCCGAGACGCAACAGTTAAATTGGCATGCAAAATAACTGAAAATCAATTTGGCGTGAAAAAAAGCAAAAGCTACAGAAACAAGTCAAGACAGTCCACTCTGTGGGTGTGGCGCGACAGCGTGATACCCTGTAGTGGAGCGCGAAGTGATCTGAGTGGACAGCAATTGAGTAGGAAGGCGAGAAGAGAGCGAATGGTGGGTAAGGGGTGAAAGGGTGATGACAAAGAGATGAGATCGGGAAGAGAGAAGAGCAGAAGGAATGAAGGGTATAGCAATAATGGAAGAGCGTGAGGAAGAAGTTTAGAAAACGATAAGCCAAAATGATGAAACGATAAGTACTGTGCTACTATATCTAATCGATAAATGAGTAGCATTAATCGATAACAAAAACTGAACAAATATCGATTAATATTGAAAAAGAGAATATGTTGAAAATTCTACATAAAATTTGAAAATACAGCAGAAGTGCGATAGGCCATATTAGATCTGGTAATGAGACATATGGAATGCGGCATATAAGCTCAAAGATTTTCTTATTTTAATACAGTTGATTAACTCAAATCATTTCATATTTACTAGGAACTGAAATCTATCAGAGTATCAAAGCAGGAAAATAATTGAAGGGATATCTAGAAACATTATTACTATATTACTGATGAGGCTATATATATGTATGTCTATACAAGTATATATGTAAATTAAGCACTCGTTGATCATACCGGCTTCTGCCTCCTATAGGCAGTTCTGCATGTACGAATCAATTTGATAGATATAGTTTCGATAACTTGTCAGTAGAATACTTATATAGAATATTTATATAGTATGCAGAATATTTATATAGTATTAGCTTGACCAGCTCAGTCGCTATAGGTATGTCTCTTTGTTCGTTTCTCTTTCCTGTCTGTTGTCTGTATTTCCATATTGACGCAACGACCTTCTATAGTTACAAAGGCAATGTCATAAATGTTCTATATATATAAAAATATATTTGTTTGTTCGATAAATCATGCCCATTTCTGATTGATAAAAATTGTACGGTTTTTGGTTTTACGGCATTGTCTACAAAGCAAATACACTGGGCACACCAAGTAAAAAGTATGTAGAGCTCTGAGATGAATGCACAAATAAATATAGATTTTGAATATGTGTGAATGAATATGAATGAAGCATTATGAAGGAGTGAATGATTATGATTGAAAGAAAGAAAGATGATGTATGAATAAATATGAATATGAAAAAATGAATATGAATGGATGACTATGACTGCATAATTCCAAATGAATGAATGAATATGAAGGAATGAATATGAATGGATGCACATAAATGATTGAAATATGAATATCAATTTATGAATATGAATGAATATGAAAGAATGGATGAATATGAACGAATGAATGATTATGAATAAATGAAATATGAATATCAGCTAATGAATATAAAGGAATGCATATGAATGAATGCATATGAATGAATGAATCAATGATCACGAATGAAGAAATCAAATATGAGCTAAGGGATATTAACGAATGATTATGAATAAATGCATATGAATGAATGAATGATTATGAATTTAAAAAAAAAAAAACACAAATATATGTAAGTTAATGATTATTAATGAATGAATAAGAATAAATGATTATGAATGAATGAATATGAATATGAGTGATTAAATATGAATATGAATTAATGAATATTATTGTAAAAATTATTGCAATGTGTATATATGATAATTTCTTAAGAACTAACAATCGAAACGAGTCTAAAATTCTAACGCAGCTCTGCACTTAGGGTATTTGCTAGTCGTGCACGTCCGTCTACCCATGCTGCCCTGGCTAGCCGATGCAGGCAGGGTATAAGCAGGCAGCAACTGCCAATGGGCAGCGGCAACCAGTTGCTGTTGTTGTTGTTGTTGCCGCTTTAAAGCTCATTCGAAAGTTAAAAAGAGTTGCTGCTGTTGTTGTTGTTGTTGTTGTTGCTGCTGCTGTTAGCTGCCGCAACGAGCCGAGCGCGCTGCATCTGAGGCTGTCTTCAGTCGCCGCTGAGCGAGCGCCGAGAGCAGACAGCAACTCGATCACTCGCGCGATTTTAATTTCGTCTAAGATCTTGATCTTAAGTTTTTTTTTAGTTTATCTTTTAGTCTGAAACGGTCTCTCGCTCGCACTCTCTCTCTCTCACTCTCACTCGCTGACACTCGCCTGCTCAACCCTTTGTGGCTGTGTTTTTTTTTTTTTTTCATAATTTTTGTTGTTGTTTTTTGTTGTTGTATTTGGTGTAATTTTGTTTTCCTACGCACGCCCGCCTGTGATTTTGTTGATACTCACGCCCCGCTTAGTCTAAAAAAAAAACAAAAAAAAAAACAAAATATAATAATAGTCTTAGGTCGCGTTATTAACGAAAGACTAAAGCAAAACCGAATATAAACAAGAGAAAGAGCCCAAAAATTCCAAGAGAGGAGAGCGACGAGCGAAGAGACGAAGAAGAAGAAGAAGAAGATCAACGACGGTTGTGTGTTTGTTGCTGTGCGTGGGGCGCTAAACGCTTGGCCAACGGCAGCTTAATTAACCCAGGTGCGAATAGGTGTATGTTACGAATATTGTGAATATTATGTGAAACATTTCATGAGTTAACAAACAAACAAACAAAAAAACCCGAAACAAATTTAAATAAATCCATAAAAAATGTGCAAAAAAACGAAAAACGAAAGACTTGGGCAACAAACTTGATTACAGCCAGCTGTGTGCGTGTGTGTGTGTGTGTGTGCGGTAACAGGCGTTGCAACTGCATTTGAAAGTTCTATGTAATCGAGTTCACTAAACTAACCAAAGACTTAGGCAACAAACTTGATTACAGTCTATTTATATAGCTGCGCCTGCATGCAAATCCACTCACACACACACACACACATTAAGTCTTTGTGTGTGTGTGAGCTCCTGTGGAGCTCGACAGAAAGTTCTTGCATATCCATTGCGAAAAGTAAGAAACAAAAAGAGTGCAAAACAGAAGACTTAGGCGACAAACTTGCCCGTGGGCTGCCCGCGCCGACATGTTCGAGCACGTCCGTGCGTGTGCGTGACAACGAGCTGCTTCCAGTTCTTGACCACACATTTGAATGTGCTATGTAATCGATTTCATGGGGCGTTGCAAGCGAAAGACTTAGGCAACGAACTGGCCTAAGATATATATACATATATATATACCTCTCTCTATATGCATATGTGTGTGTGTGTGTGTGTGTGTGTGTCTGGTTGTGCTTAGTTAGCAGCTCCTGCAGCTTCATTTGAATGTTCAATGCTACCAAAAATGGGCAAAAAACTTGAACTAAACGAAAGACTTAGACAACGAACTTACGCTCAGAGCGGCTGTTTATGCATAGCAATTGTTGTTGTTTAGCATTTAGTATATGTGCCGACCACATTCAGAATATGCCTGCGGGCCATAATCAACCAGATCAGCCTAAGGTAACAAAAGACTTGGACAACTGACGAAGCGAAATGCTTGTCATAAACAAAAGACTTAGGCAACGAACTCGATTGGCTGCCATCGTGTTGCAAGGATGTAACGAAAGACTTAGGCAACGAACTTGCTTGCTTGACTGCAGCTCTGTATTGTATAGACAAAGGCTATATCGATTAATTCTAATAATCGCGTGCTGCAAATGAAAGACTTGAGCAACAAACTTGATTATAATTCTTCAACTTCAACTGCCTCGCTGTATGTGTGTGTGTGTGTGTGTGGAGCAACAGCTTTCAACTTCTAATTCAATCTACGTGACTTAGTTAAAAAAACATATTTTTATAAATGCCTTGAGGAAAAAATTCAAAACGAAAGACTTAGGCAACGAACTTGGCTGGCAGTCGTTATACATACATACATACATATGTACATATTGCGGCTTTAACAGCTTCTAACTCCATTTAATAGCGCTTGTACGGCTACCCAATAATTGTGCGAAGATCTTAGAGGCAGAGCCCCTCTTCATCTGCCTCTGCCTCTGCCTCTCCCTCTCTCCCACTCGCTAGCCCGCTCTCTCTCTCTCTCTCTCTCTCTCTCTCAGCAGCCGCCGCCTGGCTGTAAGGTCTTAGGAGCATGTCTTTAAACCGGTAGTTGGCAATTACCCAGGCAGCCAAAAGGTTGTGTACCACAGCAGATGATTTTGTATGAGGCATGCACACACACACACACAGACACACACACACACACACACAGACACGTAGACTGAAGACCTGTTCTGGAGCCCAGTTTAATCAATAGACGGCGGCTGCTCCTGCTTTGACTTGACTTGCCTTGGCTTGCCATGGCTTGGCTTCGTTTGGATTCTAGGCGTGTCTGCAGCAGGTCCATGAACCTAACTACACACACACACACACACATAGACCTATATATATATATAGATAGTTGTGTTTTGTCTATAAAAATATTTGTTGGAATTTCGAATTTGAATTTTTAGTTTGAATTTATTGTTGTTGTTGTTGTTGTTTGTTGTCTGTTGGCAGCTGCAGCTATGTGTGTGTGTGTGTGTGTGTGTGTGTGTTGTACTTGTTGCCTGTGTAAACTTGTTTTGTTGTTGCTGTTGCTGTTGCTTGCGCCCACATCGACTTGGCGCTGGGCCGCTCGCACTCTAATCAGCGTATGCCAATCTCTGCCCCGAAAACATTAGCTGGATGTGTTGTTGTTGTTGTTGATTGTTGCGGCTGTTGTTGGTGTTGGGTGAAGTGGTCAAGCGACGATTGCAGCTGCGTTGGTGTTTTGTGGTTAGCGCTGTCAACTGTTTGGCTTGAAACGTTAACTGAATTACAATAATAATAATCAGACAACAACAACAACAGCAGCAGCAGCAACAACATGGCCCAGCGTCTAGGCTCTGGAGGTTGAACAACCAGCCAAGGCAAACTGGTCGCGCGAATCGCAACGGAGTCGAAGTCGAAGTCGAAGTCGAAATCGAAGTTGGGAGTCGCTGCTGTTAGCCTGGCCAAAAGACTTTTGCACAAATCAGCCGCTTGGCTCATTTCTCTTTTTCTTTTTTTGTTGTATTTTGCCTTGTTTTTGTTTTTTTTGTTTTTTGTTTTACTTTAAGCCACTTGGCATGCCACAGCAACCACAATTCATTTGAATAACTCGCAAGCGGGCCAAAGCGTTTCTCGAATTGAAATTATACCTCACACTAACACACACACACACACATATGCCTACATGTGTGTGCGCTCAATTTGAACTCCACTTTATGCTCCACTCTTAACATTAGCTGTTGGCCAAAAAAGACAACAACAACAACAACAACAACTAAACGGTTTTTCGCATTTTTGTCCAATGACAAAACTCTTGACAATGTCCGCTGGCCCTCAGCTTACAGCCCCCAGCCCCCTAGCCCCTAGCCACTGGTCCCTGGCCCCTAGCCCCCAGCTGATAGCCTCCAACTCCCTCTGTCTCGCACTTCTGCGTCATTGGCAGCGTCATCACGACTTTATCTTAGCCACAAGCATTTATCATGATCTTCATTGGCGCCATTAAAAAAAAGCCAGAAACCAGCTACAAATTTGTACGAAAAAATTCAACCAAAACAGCCTCCGAATCCGAAATTCCGCCTCTGCTCCGCCTGCCCACTAATCCAGCTTAAGATCTCTAGTTTTGCGTATACCCTATAAAAGAAAATCAGTTGACTTGGTGGGGCCTTGAACTCCATGCAAATGTATAAGAATTTGAATCATAGAAATGTATACTTAGATCTAATAATATCTAAGATATATGCATGTATTGAAAGATGTTAATTTTGGAATACCTTTTCCTTCATCCCAGTGCACAAAATGTTCTCTGTCTCCTCATAAAATATCCCATGTAACTCGGGAACAGTAAGCTCTAGCGTAATGCTAATTTTGGTATGTGGCTTATGCTTATCATCTACATCTTCTATTCAGTCAGTGTGCAAAAAAAATTAAGAAAAACTATTTTGTGTCGTCTTCGCCCTTGTATGACCTCAAGTAACTCAGGAACCACAAGCGATAGAGGTAAAAAATTTGGTATGTAGTTTACCTATTTCATATACATGAAAAATAATTCGGAAGTCCTGGGGAAATTACGAACTCCTAGTCAGATATTTGAAATATAGTATAAGAAGTTTCAGCGAATTCTACTAATATTATCAAAGATACATAGCTTAGGTACTTAAACAACTTCTGCTCTGTAAGAGCTTACCTAAAATGCGTAAAGATCTGTTGTTAATAACTCTATTCTAGTACAAGTATCCAATGAACCCAAGTAACTCGTGAACTATCAGAGCTAGAGCTACCATAGTTGGTATACAGCTTAGGCATGCCATCTATGTACGTTGAAAATAAAACGAAAGTATTCAAGACGAACATCGTGCTTGTAAGGTGAAATGTAACTTTAAAAATTGCTATAAAAAATGTCCGAGATTTCCAAAGTTTTTGCACATTTATTTTGAAACAATCATCGGCGCATCCCCATTGGTAAGGCCAGCCAACTCGACAGCTCTTACAGCTCGAGCTACCAAATTTGGTTTTGTTGGTTGGCCTGTTCGCATTAGGAGTTCGTTCTCCATTAAGAGATAAATGGCTGAGATAACTAAATGAAATGAAATGAAGCTCAGTATTTGTGTAGTGTAGGGTATTTAAACGCTTTTACTTTTTATCAATGTTGTTGTTGTTGTCTTGTTGTTGTTTTTTTTTTTTTGCTTTAATGAATTCGTGTTCATCGATCGTTCAATGAGCAGTCGAACTCAGCGCCGCCGGCGGCTGCAGAGGAGTAGCAATGGTGGCTTGAGGGGGGAGAGGGGAGGGGCCAAGGGGGTAAGCGATAGAGGGGAGAAGATGAATTTCATGTTATTGTGCTGGCTATAGCTGACAGTCAAGTTTTGCAGCTTGAAGCTAAAGTCGAAAAAAAAAAACCACCAAACAATAAAACAAAAAAACACTTTCTACGCGCGTTACCGTTAAACAAGGTCGCCAACAGCGACAACAACAACAACAGCAACAACAGCAACACCATGTTATGTATAACTGAATGTTCCATCAAGTGGTCAAGTGGTTGCTCAGTGAAGCTAAAGAGTCTCTCCCTCTCTCTCTCTCTTTCACCCGCTTCCTCTCACTCTCCCCCTCTCTCTCTCGCTCTCCCTCTCTCTCTCTCTCTCGCTCTCCCTATCTCTCTCTCTCTTTCTCTAGCCAGCGATGCGTGCATTTTGCTTGTCATCAACAGCAGGGACAAAGCCAACCACGAGCTGACCTTGAGGCAATGCTATTGCTGCTGCTTCTGCTTCTGCTTCTTCTTCTTCTTCTTCAGTCACTTCTTCTTCTTCATCTTCGTCGTCTTCAGTTCAGGTGTCGCATTCTGTACCGTTATTTGCCATTTTGCTAAAGCTGGCTTTGTTATTTGAATTGTGTGCCGCCCACTTGTGAAAAGCGAAACGAAACGAAATAAATTGTGGTGCAGAGTGGTGCAGTGTGGTGCACTGTGGTTTATGTCTTGCTCTGAATACCAAGCCAAGCCGTTCTCTAAGTTACACTATATGCATATCTCTATATACATATATATATATAGATATATTTATTTGTGTGTGTGTGTGGCAATTGCATCGACTTTAAAGCAAGAAACATTCGACGCATCGACCATGTCGATGATGCAACCTGATCAACATTCAACGCACACTCACACACACACATACACAGACAGAACAATTTAATGATAGAAATTTGTGTGAATCCATTGTTTCATCCGTCTGTCTGTCTCCGGCTTTTGTTCCATTTGATAATTTTTTTTTACATTACGAATCCGGGTTTGTTTGTAGATCGCACAGCTCATTTCTCAACTTCCTGCTCAATCGAAATCAAATTTAGCTAAAACTGTGAGAAAGCCGTTTTACCTACGTATGTAAATCTAAATTTCTGCTTTTCGGGGTCGTATATTAACCTGAATTGTTATTCAAACTGATCTCAATGTGCGTGCTCTGATTTCTACTCTTTAAATGCGATTTTCGTAGCCAAAGATCAGTTAGATCTTGTTTGAGACATCCTCAAGTATTCTTTATTTATTGCCTATAAAGAGATCTTGATTTGCTCTGCTTTTGTTTGAGTTAAGAATTTAAGATCTTTAAATGCTCGATGTGATCTTAGTTGTTGATCTTTTCTTAAGTATTTTCAAGATCTTCAAAGATCTAGTTCATCACAAGTGAGAATCATGAAAGTGTTCTGTTATCCTTCAGCTTTTCGTGGAGAGCGAATCTTCAAATGATCATGATCTATTATATATGATCCTATCTTATATGATCTTATCTTATATATATATATGATCTAAATTGTCGATCATTAGATATTTTACTTTGGAGTTTATAGATTCTTTCATTTTAATATCTTTAAAGAGAGATCTATGTAAAGTAAAGATCTTCAGCAGATCTGAAACTGCCAAAGTTCAAGATCTGATCTTAATTATCGATCATAAGAACTATTATTTCACATTCTATTTCCTCACATTTGTAAATTTTTTAGTCAAAAAACTGTAATGAAACTCATATATCGATATTTCCTCTGTTTGGCGAATAATCTCCATTTAGTTCATAACTGATCTCTTACCTTATCTATTAATATGCTAACTGATCCGCTGGTATCATTAATTGATTTTCACTTGTTCGCCTGATTTGAATCTCTATAAATTGCTGAGCCACACAAAACATGATCATCACATGAGCTTTTAAATGCCGTCAAACTCGTTTCGACATGATCAATAGCTCACTGAAGTGTGTATTTCATTCGACAATCTGTTTTGGAGCATATCATATAATTCCAATTCATCCTTTTGTTCGCGATGTTTATCTAATTTTGGGCGGTATCTATTTAATGGTCGTGTTTATTGCATTGATTAATATTTGGTTTTATTTGACTTTCTTTTTGATCTTCATCGAATACCATCGTCAATTGGTAGCTTAAGTATTTATTATCGTAGCTTTGATCTTTTCATGGTTTGATATATATATATATAATTTGTTTCATTTGATTCATTTGTTATTGAATTGATTTTATTGTGATATTCATTTATTGAATTTTCATAGAAATACCAAAAATGATCTCATATCTGAATGAAAATGAGTATTGATTTTTTTATAATCCTTATTTCGTTTTCAATGCATATTCATTTCAATTATTATTCAGTTTTCAAATAGTATTCAGTTGATTTTTCATATTCATTCGATGATCTTCTTCCAATCTTCATTTGATTCCCATGTAAACCATATCTGATCCTCAGCTGATCTTCATCTGATCTTCATCTGATCTTCATGTCATCTTCACTCGATCTTTATCTTGCCTCCATCTGATCTTTATTTGATCTTCATTTGATCTTTACTGGAACTTCACTTGATATTCATCTAATCTTCATCTGATCATTCTTCAGTTCTTTATTTGATCTTCATCTCATTTTCATTTGATCTTCATTCGATATATACTGATCGCTCGATCTTGATCGGATCTTCATCTGATTCTCACTCGATCTTCATCTGCTTTTGATCTTGCCTTCATCAGATCTGTATCTGATCTTCACCTGATCATTCTTCAGTTCTTTATTTTCAACTTCATCTCGTCTTTATTTGATCTTGGATTCGTCTTCATCTGGTCCCTCGATCTTTATCTGATCCTTATCTTATCCTCATCCTATCCTTCATCTGACAATTCTCCTGATCATTCTTCAGCTCTTCAGTTGATCTTTACCTCATCTTCATTTGAGCTTAATGAGATCTTTACTACATTTGGTCTTCATTTGATCTTCATCAGATTCAGACTCGATCTCCATCGGCTTTTCATCTTGTCTTCATACGATCTTCACTTGATCTCATTAGATCTCTACCGAAACTTTAATTGAACTATCGATCATCGATTCATAAGCAACTGATTCAGTCAGAATTTCTAATGAATGCTTGCTTCGGTTTCTTGCAGACCTACGTGAAGGCTGTTCGTGACGGTGTCGAGGATCTAGAGGCGGTGCTCTGCTCGCCAGAGAGTCAGAAGCAGCTGGTGGCGCTCGGGCCGCAGCTGGTGGCGAATACGAGCCGATCGCGCAAGACCATCGATTCGGAGGACACGCAGAAGCGCTGCCTGGCCCAGGAGGACGGCACACTGGTCACCGAAAGTAAGCGCACCACCCAGCACGAGCTCATACTCGACGGCGACGAGGAACCCGATCAGCTAACGGGCCAGCTGCTGGGCAATGAGCAGCTGACCACGACGGCGGCGAATCAGCGGTTCTTCAAGCAGCGGGACGAACAGCATGTGGATCTGATAGCCGACGGTAAACTGGTGGCCACCGAGATGCGCTACGCGGCGGAGACAACGCAAATGGAAAAGGATGGCTCGCTGGAGCGGCCGGGCGACTGGGACAGCCTCTCGGATCGCATGCGCAAGCTGCGACGCACACAGCAGCAGCAGCAGCAGAAAGGTGAGTGTTAGCCAGCGCAGATACCCTGTAAACAGAGCTGAATAGGGTTTGCTCTCATACTAACTTCTCTTTTTTTCTCTTTCTTTGGCTCTGGTAGAGGTCGCCCTGCTCGCGGATCGCAAGGATGCGCTGACCAAGCGACCCCTCGACTTCGATCGCGAGGAGGAGACGCGCAAGGGCGAGACCATGAAATGGCTCGAGTCGCACTTTGGCAGCGAGTCGACGGCCTCGAATGACTCGCGCGACGACGAGGCCAACGAGCTGGATGTGGAGCCCACCAAGAAGAGCTACTTCAACGTGACCATCAAATCGCAGAGCCAGCAGCCCATAGCAGCAGGAGCAGCAGGAGCAGCAGCCGTTAGCAGCAATCAAACGTTGCCGCGAACTCTAGACAGAGACAGAGAAAGGGAGAGGGAAAGGGAAAGGGAAAGGGAGCGTGAACGTGAACGTGAGCGCGAAAGAGAACGCGAACGCGAACGGGAGCGAGAGCGAGAGCGCAGCACGCTGGAGCGCAAGTATGTGAAGGACGCTGGACGCGGCAAATACTATCAGGGCATCTCGAACTGGTCGGAGAGGAAGGAGGCGCCCACGTTGAATCACTTCTCGACGCAGGCCTTTCGCGAGGATCTGCAGGAGACGATACGCCGCAAGCAGCTGCAGGTGGCGCCCGACGTGCTGCCGCCGGGCAGCGATAGCTACGTGAGCCGCGAGGACATCCTGCAGCAGAAACGTCAGAGTCTGTCCTCGCAGTTTCTGGCCAGATCGGCGCGTGGATCGCGCGATGCGCTCGACGATCTGGATGCCATACCCGGACCGGGACCCATGCGTCCAGCAGCGCCACCAGTCACTGTGGGCGTGGGCGTGGGCGTGGCCGTGCCACCGGGCATTGGCATCGTGCGCAACGAGGAGCCCTCGCTGAAGCGGCCGGCGTATGGGCAGCTGCATGGCCATGGGCGCAGCAGCAGCAATCCGGTTAGTCAGCTGCCAGCGGTGAATGGGCGTGGCAAGGGCGTCAGCTCGCAGCTGGAGTTTGGCATGAGCAGCAGCAGCAGCAATCTGGGGCGGCCCACAGTGCCGCAGCGACGACGTGCCATCGAGAAGAAGATCGTGGAGCATGGCCATGCTGCCAGCAGCATCAACAGCAACAGCCACATCAGCAACAGCAACAGCCACATCAGCAACAGAAGCAATAACAACAACAACAACAACAACAACAAGCTGCTCTCAGCGAACGCCCAAACGCAGCTGGAGCCGCCGCCCGACTACTCGCCGCCGCCGCGCAGCCGCAGCCGCAGCCGCAGCTCGTCGCCCCAGGTGGACTACATGATCGGCCGGCCCAGGCAGATGGCAGCCAGTGTGCCATTGGAGCCGCCTGCCTCCAGCACAATGACGCTGAACCGCAAGCAGCAGCAGCGCACGCGCTTTGCGCCCAGCTCCTCCAGCTATCCGACGGGCATCAATGGCCACAGCTCCATGTCCACCTCGAATCTGTCCAGCGCCGGTGGCGGTGGCGGCAGCAAGCCCAGCAAGATGGGTCAGGTCATTGGCAACTCGCTGCGCAAGCTGGTTAGCAAGATTCGTTCGGCGAGTGCGGAGCGAAAGTTTCGCATGAAGAGCGCCGCGAGCAAGTCGCGCGAGCAGTCGCCGAATCCCAATCAGACGGCCGCCCAGCAGTTGACCACGTATCAGCAGTACAATGTGATTGACGGGCATATTGGCGGCAACAACAACAACAACAGCAACAACAGCAATGGCAATGGCAATGGCAATGGGCAGCTGCGTCACAGCAGCAACGAGTCGGAGAGCTCGCTGCGTCCGACTCCTGCGAGCTACAAGCGCGCCGAGTCCGCCGAGACGCAATCGATGAGTCCGCGCCAGCGCTACTATCTGGGCGAGGATCCCTACTCGAGCACGCTGTACGGCAAGGAGAACATCTACGAGCGGCATGCGCACGGACGGGCCGCCACACGGCAGCCCCGATATACGGAGGACGACTACTATGACAGCCGAGCAGGAGTCGGTGCAGCAGCAGCAGTAGCAGCAGGAGCAGGAGGTGCTGGCACAGCAACAACAACCACAACCTTGGGTCGCTATCAGAAGCATGGACAGCGCTTCAGTGGCTCCACGCCCAATCTGCTGCAAATGCAGCCGGACTTTAGGAACGCCCAGACGCTGCCGCGCAAGCTGCACGAGCCGGCGAACGCATATCGTCCACAGCCGCGCTACAATCAGACGCTGGAGAAGAAGCCGCAGTACATGACGACAGCAGCAGCAACAGCAGCAGCAGCAGCAGCAACAACTCCGCAGCAGCAGCAGCAGCAGTTGGCGTCGCGTCAGCTTGGCCCCGGCTTGGAGCAGGGGCCAGCGAAGCCGGCGCGCACCTATGCCAAGGTGTTGAATCGCAGCAAGAGCTTCAATGTGCACGGCATGAATGGCAGCAACGATCCTAGTCCCATATACATTGAGAAGTTGACACGCAACAACTACAACAACAGCAACAACAACAGCAACGGCAACAGCAACGGCAACAACAGCAAGCAGGAGTTGCAGCTGCAGGCCTACAAATCGAATCCGCATCTCTACCAGGCCAAGGACAATTCGCTGAAGAGCGGCCTGAAGAGTCCATCGATTGTGAATCTGATCAGCCGCAGCCAAAAGGATCTGACCAAGATAGCCAGCAGCAACGAGGACGATGCCATCTATGCCCTCGAGGACAACAACAACAAGAAGCAGCTCTATCTGCGCAACCTGCACCAGCAGGCGCCCGATCTGTACCGTGTGCTGCACGGCGACGAGACCGACTATGCCGCCACGCGCCACAAGTATCCGTTGCAGCCGAAGTACTCGCTGGACTCGCGTTCGCCGCCCACGGTCGAGCTCAACAAGGACACGGCGAGCATTGTGCGACGCAGCAGCGATGAGCATAAGCGGCAGCTCTATGCCGACGATCAGCAACAGCCACTCACGCACACGCACACACATGCACATGCACACGCACACACACACGCACATCATATGCATGCGGCTCAGCAGCAGCTGCGTCGCGGCTCTGGGGCCACCATCATTGAGCTGCGCCAGCGCAAGTGAACATTATATGTCTATCTCTCTCTTTCAATCACTCTCTCTCTCTCTTTTTCACTTCCCTCAGCCCCCCTTCCCCCTCTCTCTCCTCTGGCTTTTAGTTTCATTTGACTAGCGGCAAATAAATATAAAAGGCCCATACAGAAACTAGCTTTTTTCAAGCTAAATTTTTCCTCTTGTTATTTTCCCATTTTTTTGTTTCACTTTATTTTTGCTGCTAAACATTTATATATACAAACATTTCTCTATACATATATCTTCCATATATTATATACAAATTTTAAATTTAAACATGTTTTTTTTTTGTTTTTTTTTTTACTAATTTTGTTGTATAGTTAAACGTTATATATAAATATATATTTAATAATAATAATATTAATAATAATAATAATACTTGCGCGCGAGCCAACTAACTAATTAATTGATTAATTAATTACTTCCACTTACTACTTAATTAACGTACTTAAACATGTAGAAGAAGCAGAAAAGAAAATTAAAAAAAATAAAAATTGTAATACTTAATAATAATTAAAATTAATATTAATTGCTAAAAATAAAAATAATTAAAAGCAGAAAAATTCCAATTATAATTATTATAATACTAAAAATAATAATAATAAAAATTAAAAGCAACAAATAAAGTGCCAAAATAAAAAAAAAATAAAATAAAATTAAACTATATATAGCTGAGAAAATTCAAAAAGCGCAACTTTGATAGGCAATTTTTTTTTTGGGATGAAAATTTCTGTTAGTTTCAGACAATATTCGACTAAGGGATACCCTATACAGACTTCATAGTCTGCAGCTCTCGCATCTCCACTGAAAATGGGAAATCAGGGTATATTTGTTTTTGTTAAAATGTTTGTAACAGGCTGCTGCGAAGGCGTGGCTGCCCACGCTGAGCTGAGTCGATTTGGAAAAAAATATATATTTCACTTTAAAGTTTTTTAGCTGTATTCATTAAATGAGCTTTGCATCCACTTTTCCTCGTCTTAAATATTATAAAATATATTTTTTACATACTACATCTATTTAATATTATTATATATTATATTTGATATTTTGTCTGTAAGACCAAAAGCGTTTTGCTCTCTAGCATGAGTTTCAAGGTATTCCAACTATATTAAATTCCCTATATTAAATTCGTAGAGTTCTTGGTATACTCTAAAATATACAAAATATATATATATACAAAATACAAATAAAGTTAGGCGACTTGATGCAAGTAAGGAGAGTTTTACCATGCAAGAGAGGTAAGTAATTAGGGTAATTCCATATATAGGATTACAGGTATACATTCAAGTTAAATAAATGAATTTGGCCCAACATTTTCTAAAGATCTTTAGCTTTAATCACACTAGCAATGCGCTTAGGCTTACTTTCTCCCACTTGGACGCGACACCAAGGCTCATGCATCCCACTCGGTGTTGTACCATACCTTGAGAGGTTTGTTTTTTTTTTTTTTTTTAACCAAAACCCATACATTTTCTATGGAATTTAGGTCTGAACTTTGCGCAGGCCAATCCATTATCATCAATTTTGGCTTCTGGATTGGATCAAGCCAGCGCTTGACGATCTTTGCTTTGTGTTTGGTTTGATTGTCCAGCTGAAAAACGAATTCTTCCTCGGGATACGCCCTATCCTCCACAAAATCGGGGTCTTCAAAATGTTCAGATAGTCTTCCTTCTTCATAGCTTCATACTACATTTGGAGCATTGTTATATTAAGTATATATATAATTTATATACAAATGTATGTCCACAAAAATCTAGAGTATTATCAAAAGGTTCTTTGCTAATCAGAGGGCATTTCTGTATTATTCAATTCCGACTTTAAAACTTTAATTTTATGAACAAACTAATTCGCTTTTAATAGCCGAGAGCGAGGTTTTAGGTCTAGTGACACTAGACTCTGGGCTACTTTTTGATTGGGTCCAAAACGTTGAATTAAAGCTCATGACCCGCTCTCAACGATATCGCCTCGATCTGAATCGGCTGCTGCTTAGTCTGTGTTTCGCATTCGATGCGAATGGTGGCTGCAATCGTGGGGCATCATGTGGCTTCTGTTGTTAGTGCTGCCCGTCGTGGTCGGCGCCTTGGAGTCCTCCTCGCTGCTGCTGGAGCTGGCGCAGTTGGCTGCCCGGAATGAGACTGGAGCCTTGGAGTCGACGCAGTGCGTGGAGCAGCTTCGGCAGCTGCATTCCGCCTGGCAGGCGAATCAGAGCTGGGCTCTGAAAGGTAAGAGTGCAATGGATTGGCTAAGATTGGGCAGGTAAATGGATGGGACTTACTCCAAGTGGACTTTTTGTAGCTCTGGATGCGTCTGGCAGCGGCTTCAGCAATTTCATGCTGGGCAGTAGCCAATGGCTGGGCAATCGCCTCACCTGTCGAGCGCTCAATGAGCCGCTGCTGCGGGACTTCACCAGGAATCATCAGCGGCTGCTGCGACAGCCTGCGCCCTTTGAGCACGCCTACAGCGTGGCTTACCTGAGAGCCAACTCCAGCTGGCAGCTGACCACGCGCATGAAGCCGCGGCAGCTGCTGCACGTTGGACTCTGCGTCCCTCACAGCTGCGATCCACAGCAGCTGCAGCAGCTGCTCGGCCAGAGCCTTGCGACAGAGAGACCGGCGGGCAGCTGGGAGCAGCGCATGGGCCTGCAGCTGGAGCTGGTCTACGCTAAGCGTCCAGAGCTGAGCGCTGGCTTCTTCGCCCGTCCCGCAGTTCGCTCGCTGCTGCTGCTGCTGGCCGGGAGTCTTCTGCTGGCCTGCCTTGCCAGCAGTGGCTGCCTTCCAGCTAGCCGCATCCTTGGCTGCTTCGATGTGCTCGCCAACTGGCGGCGTCTCTGGCAGCTGGGCCGTCAGGAGATCGCAGTCATCAGTGGCTTGCGCGTCTGCAGCGCATTTGCCTTGATTGGCCTCCATACCGTTTGGTATCAGTTCTTTGCGGTGAATCACTCGGCGGATCTGGCAGACAAGTTGGTCAAGATGAGCTCCCAGACTCCTTTGCCGCTCATGATGGAGGTATTCTTTGCCATCAGGTATATGTGAAGGATTTGTATGAATATATCTAGCGCGCTCTCTCTCTCCCTTTTCCTCCTTTTCCCTCTTATCTTTCATTGTGTTCATCTGTTCATCTCTGCTCAAGGCATACACTAAACAGTTCCATCTCCTCTCATCAGCGGCTTCCTCACCGTCTCCAACTTTCTGGGCAATGTGCCACTGCAGCGCAGCATCGCAAGCGATACGCTACCCGGCGTTGTGCGTCGTTTTGTGCGGCAAGTGGCTCAACGTTACTTTCGACTGGCGCCGCTGCAGTGCATCGTGATCCTGCTGACCGTGGTGAGCTTCAAGTACAATCGCGAGGCATCCGTCTTCCATTTCGTTGAGCCCGTGGATGAGCTGTGCGAGCAGCATTGGTGGCGCAATCTCCTGCTCGTGCAGAATCTGTATCCGGTCAGCGAGATGTGCTGCAATTGGACCTGGTCGCTGGGCTGCGATATGCAATTCTATATAGGGGCCATGTTGCTGCTGTACACGCATACCAGGTGGGTTCCATTCAATGGAAGGCACTGCGAGGCGATCTATTTGAAACTCTGTTTTCGTAGGCATCCACAGCTGATCCGACGTTTGGTTCGGGTTCTATTCAGTGGAAATATTGTATACACTGTCCTGCTGTTCGTCTGCCTGAATGTGCCCAACACCTTGGAGGACGGATATAGCATAGGCGATTGGGTTTATACGAATCCCCTAGTCCGCGTATCGTCCTACCTCATAGGCGGCATCTATGGCTATGCACACGCCTACAGCTTGGAAGCTCCCTTTGAGACAGTCTTTCCCACCAAGGCAGCCAAATGTGCACTGGCAGGATTCACTCTGTGGCTATTTGGAAAGCTGCGGAACTTGGAGCTGGCCAGCCCAGCAGTCGTGGGCAGTATTGTCATAGTTATGCGTTCCTTATTATCCACAGCCGCGGCACATTTAATCTTCTGCAGTTTTCGCATCGAGGGCAGCTACAGAGTGACACGTTGGGTGGTGCGATTCCTTGAATCGAGTTGGTTCCATCGCCTCAGTCGGATTACCTATGCCATCTATCTGCTCAATCCAACGATCATACTCCACGTTTACTACTCATTTAGCGAAGCCATTCCATCGGACTTTAGTATTTTGGTAAGCTGAAGCTGTAAAGCATGGGTTTTAAGCGATATTAATTTTGCTTTTATTGTAGCTTTGCCTTATTGTGGCACTTTTGGTTATTGTGTCGTTACTGGCTATTCCATTGACTCTGTTCTTCGAGCTGCCCTTTAATAGTCTCACAAATCTATTTTTGGCCTCACATTATCATAAGAATAAAATTAATTAACACTAAACATATGTATTGATATGAATAGTAATATTACAGGTTTTGTTTACAAATGAATTGCAATAAAACCGTTTTTAAACGTAACCACTGACACGTAACGTAACGCAACTGTTGCTGCGCTAAATATGCTCACTTTTGCGTTAATTCGACGGATACTCTGCTTTGCGCTAACAATACTCCAATTTGCGTTTGAGCAGCTGTTGCGCCTTTTATGTTATCGATATACACACAGACATATTCACACAAGTCGTTGCATCGATAAGATAATTCGATTATTTCATCATACAAGTAGCAAACAAATAAAATGTAAGATTTACATAGATTAGTTAAATTTTTTTCGTATACAAAAGGCTGTTGACAACGCCAAGATGACTTCGCGCAACCTAACCGAGGTGTTTGTTATCATGCGCAACAATGCCAGCAAGAATCGCAATCATTATGACGAGCGGGTAAGGGCCAAACCAATTTATCATCCATATGGATATGGAAATATGGAAATGATTCAGAGGAGTGAATCTAATCTTGTAATTTAATAGCGTGGCAGCGATTCGGAGCGTCTGTTGAAACATTCAGTACGCGAGGCTGAGGAGGGACTCGAGATGCAAGATGATTATGCCACCCCACCCATTTGGCTAGACAAATTCGAGGAGGCGCAATACACGATGTCAAAGTGAGACAGCGATGAATATTCTCGGAGCTCTCAGCTACGAATTGCTTACTCATTGATGTTGTTATATTGCCATTGTAGAATCAAACCAAAACTGGATGAGCTGGGCTCACTGCATGCCCGCCACCTGCTGCGCCCCACCTTTGATGACCAAAAGGATGACGAATGTGAAATCGAAGTGCTTAGTCAGATTGTGGCCAAGCTGATAGCAAGCACCCATCGGCACATACAATGCGTTCGCTCTAGCCTGGGCGTCGGCAGCAAAGTGGAGCAGCGACTCACGGCCAATGCGGTGCACTGTGCGCTCCTCCAGCTGCAGGATCTTACTGTCAAATTTCGCAGCAGCCAAAATGCGTATCTGCTGCAGCTCAACTCACGAGAGGAACGCTCCCAGAAGTACTTTGACAATGCCAATGAATTCACCAATGTCGAGCTGGGCAACTTCGGTGGCGATGAGCCGCCCAACAACTTTGTGGACACCTTTGACAATTTTCTGCAGCCACTGGATGGCGTTGGCAAGAGCCAGACGAACGCGTATCTCTTCGAGGACGACGAGCAGCAGATTGACGACAATTTCAAGAAGCCATTGGCCAATCGCATGACACAGCAGCAGCTGCTGCTCTTCGAGGAGGAGAACACGCGGCTAGCGCAGCACCGGGAGGAGGAGGTGACGAAAATAGTAAAATCCATTTACGATCTCAACGATATCTTCAAGGACTTGAGTCACATGGTGCAGGAGCAGGGCACCGTGCTCGATCGCATCGACTACAATGTGGAACAGACCCAGACGCGCGTCTCTGAGGGCATGCGACAGCTCCAGCGTGCGGAAATGTATCAGCGCAAGAATCGCAAGATGTGCATCATTCTCGTTTTGGCCGCCGTCACCTTCGTCATGCTCGTGCTGCTCATTCTAACCAAGCTGTAAAGGATTTGACCGACCCCAATGTCCAGCCAGCAAACTATTCCGTTAAATTTTCTGTTTACCATTCTCTTTTGTTAGTGCAGTCATGTGTGTATAATTGTAATTGTAATTGTAATTGTATTTGTGTAAAATATATATAAATTCCATTATTTATTTATTAACAATCCAAAAGCTGCATTTTGTCTCTATACCAAATGGTTTAGCTCAAGGGAATATTATACAAAATAGAATATACATATATGTATATATTATATAACGTATAAAATGCATACATTATACTTAATTGTTTATTTTAGATTGAACAAAGATGAATGAAAGAAAAAAAAAAAATATTAAATACGTCTTATATGTAATTATAGTCTAGGTCTATGGTAGGTCCTTCCACTGTAGCCCTATGATCACAGCCTTTACATGCGCTCCGAGAGGCGAGAGGCAACGGCGCGCAGATTGCCATAAACCTTGCTTGGTGGCGAGCCGAGGATCAAGTTGCAAATGGCGCGACGTGCCAGCTGAATGTTCTTATAGCTGCCCAGAATATGGATCTTGCTGTCGGCGAGCACAATTCGGGTTTTGGTCACATTCTCGATGGTGAATTTCGTTCGTCCACCCTTGCCAGCAAGACGGCCAATGGCACGGGATTGATGGTCGCCGCGCAGCGTTTTCACGTCTCGGATCTCAAAGGTCTCTATGAAGAGATCCTCCAGTCGGAGCAAAGCCAGAGCATCGTCAACGTCGAAGCCGCATAGGAAGGCCTTGACGAAGTCTGCGCCCTTTTGCAGATTGGATATATCTGGAGTTTCGGGGCCAACGCGCAGCTCCACTTGGCGTGTCTTTACGTTGAAGCGTATTTGCAGTTTCATGTGCTCCACCACCGGCGTAAAGATTTTCATCCATTGCTCCTTGAGTGAGCTGTATCTGTGTGGCGGCACGGCCACCTTGCGCATCTCGCTGCGTATACGCTTGGCTTTCGGCGCCTGTCCGTGGCTAGAACGTTCCTTGCCCTCGATCCCCGTGGCAGCATCCACCTGCATTTCCACATCTTGATCAGTTACATTAGCGTTGCGCTTTTTTGCCTTCTTGGTGGGCCCAAAGATATCCACATTTATAGTATCTACTTCCATGGTTATTTATTTTCTATCCTGGAGTACTTTAATAGATTTAATTCCGTCTTCTCTATTTTCGTTAGATGGCTGTCCTCCACGTGCGGTGTCAACGATGTAAGTCAATTCTTATCGATAAGTGGGCAGTTCAGTTGAGTGACATAGCAGTCAGCTACAGAGCGCGAATCAAATCGGCCAGTGGCTATCGTAACATTGCGCTTGGCGCCAACGTAACGGACGCGCGAGTTAACGGTTAGCGCGAGCAGCTATCGTTGTTGGCGCAAATAGCGCATATGTATGTATGTATGTAAGTTTATTACTGTCCGTTTATATAAATGCAATTGACACTAGAACTTTGACGTCTGAAACATATACTCGAATTATAAAGTGTTAAAATTTTCCCGATCCAACCACTAGGGGCTTGCCAAATCGAAAAATACATTTTCCTGGGCATACTTATTATGCATGTTGTGCTTCAGAATATATTTAAATGCATTGTTTATTTTGAGAAAAACTATTTATTTGTAATTGTAGTGTAGTGTGTGTATGCCAGGTCCTTCCAGTGTATGATATTCGCCATCACATGAGCTCAGCGAGGCGAGAATCGATGATTTGCAGATTGCCAAAAAAAAAAACATGTCATTCCATATAGAGCAGGTTGAGAACGGCGCGACGTGCCCTCCTTATGTTCTTACTTGAACCTATAACATAGACCGTGTCCTCAACTAATACGATTCGGGATCTTGTTGTTCTCTCGATGATGAATTTGGTTTCTCCCACGCTAGATAGGAAGGCATAGGAACTGTAGATTGACTCGGGGTTCAGCATCTCCACGCTCGGCAGCCTAAAGCTGTCTAGAAAGGTATTATCTATATAGAGCAGTTGCAGAGCATCCTTTAACTCGAAGCCGTATATGAAGGCCTTGAAAAACTCAGCGCCTTTTATTAGACAAGCCACCTTTGGAGTTTCGGGGGTGACGCTCAGCTCCACATATAATGCTTTTATGTAGAAGCGTGCTCTCAGTTTCATGTCCTCCACGAGCGGGAAAGTGATCTGGCTCCAGTTTCGTTTGATTACGTTGCGTTTGTGTTTAGGCACGCGCACTTTGATAGTATTGCTGCGATTACGCCTTGGCTGTGGCGTCTCGTCGGAGCTTACAATCTCGCTGTTACCGTTCCCCGAGGTTGTGTGCACCGGTACTTCAGCATCTACGGCAGTTGCATTCGTGTTGCTTTCCATTGCTTTTTCTGAATCAATGAAACTTTTATTCGCAAAAATTAAAAAAAAAGAACAAAATTATTACTTTTTCGGAAATATTATTATTATTATTTTTTTGTGTTAACTCGGTCGACTCAAATTCCGTTTTGAGAGTTTTTTCCGTATGTGCGTCAACATTCTACGTTAGCTTTGATGTCAAGATGGTTAGCCTACTGAGTCAGTTACAGTTAGTCCGTTACAGAGTGTGAAGCGTTTGTCGCCAATCTAACGGACGTGCGAGCAGCTAGCGTTACGCCGTATTCATAACGGAGTTTTTGTTGGTTTCCATTTTAGCTTTGATGTTGTTGGCTGAAGAAGTGCAAAGACAATTTAGCTTATTTGTAATTTAATTAATGTGCTCTGCGCAAGCTTTTGGCAATGTTGAATTTTCGCCTAGCAAATTGCAGTTCTGATAAATAGTTGTTGTTGTTGTTGTTGTTGCTTGTTCACTTTGACACCCCGAAAGTGGACGCTGCTGATGCTATCAGGTGTACTTATTGTGCATGCTGTGCACATAAATGGCCCCAGGCCCTCGACATTGTATCCAAAAATGCAAATGATAATGATGTCCCAGCGAGCAGCCGCCAGACGAGCTACTCTCCTTCTCCTTCTGCTGCTGCTGCTGCTGCTGCGCTGTCGGTGGCGTTGCATAGGCATAGGCCTTTCGGTTGTGGCGCCTGTCTAATCCATGTTCGGACATTTTAAATACAAATTGCAGAGCTGTTGCGTCTCCCGGCATCAAATTGCTTGCAATCTGAACACACACACACACACACACAGACACACACACACGCTCAGCATCCGGCCGAGTAGTAGTTCCAGGTGCTCGTCCATGTCCAGGTACCGTTACCTAGTTAGCTGCTGCAGCATCTCTTTTTAGTCTATTGGCAACTGATTAGCATTTAAATTAAAATGTCGCAAAGTGGCCTTAACAAAATGTTGCTTATCGCGTATGCGAGTGTGTGTGTGTGGATGTGTGAGTGCATGTGCTGCAATTGTATACACTTTCCAGTTGCTACATCTGCAAAAAGCTATTCATGCAGGCAAAACGTACATATAAGAAATATTTGACAAAATGAAGTAAATGAAATAACCTTTCAATAAATAATTATTTCAAAATATTTTGATTTATTGAATGCCATAAATTCTGTGCGAAGAAATTGCAATTAAGATAAAAACAATTCACAAACATTTTAGTGCACGTAAAGTCATAAATTATGTAGCTTACTAAATCTACTAGAAGAAATGAGTAATTGACCAAAGAGCGTAACTTACATACGTAATACATATAACAAGAATTTAACATATAAACGTAATTGCGCTGGCCTGTCTTGATCACGATAGCACATTAATCGATAGTTTGCTAAGCTATCGCGAGCAGTGGACGATCCGTGCAGAGCATTTATGCGTTTGCAGCGATAGTAAAGCAATCGATAGTTGAAGCCTTGCACAATTTTAGAAGTGTAGAGTATTTAAGTGTTGCATATATCGTTTCTTTGCTAACTATTTTCAAACTATGTTTGTATGTATGCACACATATGTTTGTATGCACATATGTATGTGTGTGTTTTCATTGTAGCTTATTGTCTCTGATGTCACCTGTTTATGCCGCTGCCGCTGCCGCTGCTGATGCTGATGCTGCTGTCACTGTCGCTGAGATTGGCACTCGCTTCGGCAATTGCTTTTGTGCCGGGCCACTGCAAATTGGAGGCAGCATCAGCATCAGCAGCAGCAGTAGCAGCAACATGGCAGAGATGCGGATGCGGATGTGGATGCGCAAGCTGGATGCGGATATTGTGCTGACTGCTGTTGCGCTCACTTCAAAGAGCGCAACGGGCGGCCTTAATTATGAAAATTAATTGTATTCGAATGAATAACGTTAATTGATTTCCCTCCCGCTCACTCTCGTCACTGTCCTCGCGCTCTGTCGCACCTGTAGCGACCTGCAACACCTCGGCTCCCCCCTTCTGTCTTTATCACATTAATTAATTAGTCCATTTTATATTGTCGAGAGTGAAAACAACGCGAAATCAAATACTCGAACGATTTTGCCCGCTTTTCGAGGTTCGAGGTTCGCGTTTCGCCTTTTTGTGCGCCATTTGCAATTGCCGTTAGTTAAACGATTCAGTCACGTAATTCATTTGCATGGCGCGCGTGGTCAGGTTGCTATATCCTTCATCGCGGTCCAGCCCATCGGGGAAGCTCCAAATGGAAGGGTAGAGTGTGACTGGGCAAGACAATGAGGGGAAGGACAAGGCAGTCAGGGTGACCGAGAGTGGGAGGGAGAGAGGGAAAGAGAGAGTGAGTGGGAGGGACAGAGAGGAATTGAAAAGTTACAAAGTTGTTTCTATTGAATCTGCAAAAGGGAGGGAGGAAAAAGAAAGAAAGATAGAGAGAAAGAAAGAGAGAGAGAGAGGTAGAACGCATAAAGTTCAGATAGAGAAAAGAGATAAATAGAGAGAGAGGAGAGAATATGGAGTAGAGATAAGGATAGGAAGGCATAGATAATCTAGAAAGAGTTACAGGAAAATGAGTAGAAAGAGATATAGAAAGAGAGATAAAGTAAAATGAGAGAGAGACAGAGGAAGATAGGCAGATGAGAGATTGGCTCCCTTGTAGAGAGAATATGGAGTAGAGAGTATACATGAGAGAAGATCAGAAACGAGCGAGAAGAGGAGAGAATACAAAATGGAGAGTTAAGCTAGAGGTAAAGCCATTTCAGCTGAGCTTTCTTTCGGTCTTCCTCTAGTTAGAGAATGCCGAGAAAACTCAAAGACTTCATCAAAATGATTGTTTTCTCGCTCCAAGGCCGGCAAGGGTACGTTGTCCATCTCACATATGTCAGTGAAGAAGCAGAAAACAACTGTTTAACCAAATTGATGCGTGAAACTTTGTGCTAGCAATTTGTTGGCTATTTTTTATGCGGCATTTGGTCATTTTTCATGGTCAGTAATTGGCAAGGTCTGTAACGTTGGCCCCAACACCAGCAGTAGCAGCAGCTCCAGCCCCAGCTCCAGCTTGAGCCTCAGTCAGCCTCAGTTTCAGCTCTGTTTATCCTGCTCCGGCCACATCCTAACTGAATGTCCTGCATTGTCCCCTTGGGCTGATGACAGAACGCGACTTGCTCCCTTGCCTCTCCGCGCCCTTCGCCGCGGCTCGCAGCGCTACGCAGGTCTTCATCTTGACTTCAGCCACTGGGGCTATGCATATATATGCGCTATTTATGTGTGCGTGTGTGTGTGCGGGTGTGTGTGTGTGTGTGTGTCATCTATGCTCACGTATCAATAAGTGCTTGAGACGTGAACTGAATTTTTTATTACCGTTTGTCGATGTATGCGCAAAAGTGAATGCCGCCCGCAGGACGAGGGACGAACGGCTCGCAGGACATTCCGAATATGTCTCGCAGCATGCGAAATTGCCTGTGAAATATTTTCCAAATTTACTATATAAGTATGCACACATACACACACACACACACATACACACATACACTTGAAGAAAACATACAAGCTGGGAGTGTATGAACTGATACCCTGTAGAAAATGCTGGGAGGTGGCATGCTCGCCGATAGAGTGCACAGAGGGGTAGAAAATGTAAAGCAAAGTGGAAATAAATGAAGAGAAAAAGGAGAGAGCAAGACTTGAAGTAATCCTGAATTCTTGAATCCTGAGTAGGTGTGAGATCGTATACCCTGTAAAAAAACTCTGCATTGTATGGCTTTCTGTAGTATGAATATAGAACATAGAATAGATGAGGACAGCTGAGAGCGCATGCCCTGTAAAAACAGTTATTACCAGATATCCTACGACGAGCTGCATCAGAATATAGTTAACGGATCTCCCCTGATGCTCGACATATCCCAGGATATAGAAGGATAGCTATAGGAATCACACACTTGCTTAGGACTAAGGGCATATAAACGCTATCAAGCTCATACGTTCAGGATTTTCGAGCTTTCCCTATTCGATTTTGTTCAGTGTAACTTTGGATATACTGGCTATTGATGCGGCTACGCATAGCATAGAATGAAATCGAAGCTTTAGAGTGCTGTGAAAGGCGTAAGGCATGGCTGGCAGCTGAACAATTGGCCAAAAAGATTAAATCAAATCAAGGGTCTAAGCAGTCCAAAAGTGAGCAACACTGAGCTAAGCCGGGACTATGTAGCCCGACTTGAAGGCGTCTGCTTAGAGTGTAAAGGGGAAAGGGAAAGGGGAGAGGGAAACTGGGCGGGTAGCTGGAGAGTGGAGCTGGAGGTCAATCAAAAAGGTCGAGGGGCCAAATGCGAATTCAGTTTAATTGTATGTGGGGATTAGCTTTGAAGTTTTGGCGGCACAAAACTGACTCAACATGGAATAACAGGACACTTAAGTGCGTCACAAGGACTGAAGGAGCGAAAAGCAGCAACGGAGCAAAGGAGCAAAGGAGCAAAGGAGCAAAGGAGCGAGGGAGCGAGGTAGCAAAGAAGCGACAAGCGCTTCAATGCGAATGGCTTTCAGGTAATTTCTCTTTGGGGTTAAGTGGGCCAAAGGGCTGCTTAAGTCGCCCGAGCGTTAATTACTGCCAAAGACAGAGCCGCGCCGAGTCCCCATTAACCCACCGCGTGCACTCAACGACCCCGCGCCGTCCCGCAGTACCACGTCGAGCAACCCTCGACGGGGTGATAAACGGCCTGGCTTGGCCTGGCCTCTGTCCAGGTCCAGAATCTGTGCAGCTGCCTGAAGCTGTTCGCAATTGATTTATAAATCAATAAAAATATGTGCATAAATATTTACCGAGACAATATAAATAAATTACAATCCAATGTGAGCAGTCGGCTGAAAAACCTTATGCAAAATGCAGCCGGACAGTCCAGAAGGACCAAAAGGCTTCGACTGCACCGCACGCAAACACTGAGAGCAGAGCAGAGCAGAGCAGAGCAGAGCAGAGCAGAGGCGAGCGAAGCAGAGCAGAGCAGAGGAAAATCAACAGACGATGCCTGTAGT